GGTGGAGAAGGTTGAAAAATAATTTTGGAAAATACTTTCCCTCTTTTTGATAGGGAAAACATTTTCCTCCAGGTGAAGAAAAATAAATAGATAAAAAAAATGTTTTCCTATACATTTAAGTCAACCAAACATGGAAAAATTTAAAAATATTTTTCGAAAAATATTTTCCTTTATACCAAACACACCCTAAAAGTTCACACTTATAAAATTGTATGAAAAACATTAAAGCCATAACTGAAAAATTAGCTCGAGATAAAATACTATAATACATGATCAAAGTTTAGATATTATAGTAATTTAAAGAATTAGAATATTTGTAAAATATATAAAAATTAAATGGCTTAAACATTTTGAAACAACCCAAAATGAAATATGTTAGGCACACCTGAAACAGGTTGTGATTAGTCATTTACTTAACATAATGTTCCTGTTAAAGAATACTTAAGGTTTCAGTTTAGAACACCGTCATACAAAATGCTGAAGAAAACTGTAGTAATCTATAAGACCACGCCATCTGTTCTTTGTCAGTGCATTCGTTAAGAAGTTGTGCCAAGTCCAGCTTCAGCGCAGCTTAAACAAGGTCCAACACACAACCTCTATGGATTTGATTGGTTGTTCACAAGAAGAAAATTTATATTGATAAGAGTACATAACATAACCTTAATCACGGAAGTGCTAAGCAGAACGACAGTTCATTCTACTAGCACAGCTTAAGATTTGGCATTTTATACAGAGAGTGAAGAAAGTGATCCACTATTCCACTTAACAAGTATACACGGTTTATGATCCAATTTCCTGCTCCAGTAATGTTTTATGAGCTGCCCTACAATCTCTCCTTTCGAAGGCGCTCTAGTTCTTTGGCCATTTGCCAATGTTCAAGGGTTAAAGAGGTTTCACCAAAACTTAGTGATATAAGACGTCCCATTGTCAGTAACCTGCAGCACAACATCAGCTTCAATACAACCAATGGCATGACTGAGAAAACCAAACAAATACAACTAATACTCCAACTGACCTGCTGAAATCTTGACTACTTAAGCTTCTATCGGCCTGCCTGGCAGCTACTAAGTCATCTTCTACCACCTGTAATTTGGCATAGTCAGAACTACTTTAAAGGTTTACGATCACAAACAATAAGCATTGAGTTTTAAGGGGATTTTTACCAAGGAGAGAGGTTATCGAACATCAATTATCAAAATCAGGGTAACATAAAAAAGAGTTTAAATGGAAAACAAATGTTTGTACAAAATATAAAGTGTCCATTTTATTGCAACCCTACATTTGGGAGTTTGAGGTTGCATGGAATACTAGTGTTTAAACTCTTCTTCTGACTGTCTTAAACCATGAGAAGCAGATGTCTAGCACAAACTCTTACCTTCTGCATTTCTTGCCCAATAGAGTGTGACAATGATCTCATAGTAGCCAGGTACCATCTCCAAGATTGCAGCACTTCCGTCTCAACATCTTGAGCAGCATCTACTGACAATGGACGGAATGGTAAAACCAAATCTGCTGGGAGTATATTGGATTTCCCCTCAGAAAGAACTAGCAACTGAGCGTCCGCAGGCATGTCCATCTTATAATAAGTGAAGTCATATTCAACCTAGAAAAAGAAGGGAAGAACAAGTGGATATAAGATAACTTCAGTTTATACTTACGAAAGTAAATAAGCCCAAACAACCCAACCTGCATAAATACTATTAACCTGGTATTATTATCATACCCAATTATTACCTATTACTTTGGCACTTTTAACCTGGGATTATTATCATACCCATTTATTATCTATTACTTCGGCATATACTTTTAACCTAGTATTATCATACTCAATTATTATCTAGCATTTTCATATATTACTGTCTTCCAGTACCCGGACACGAGAAACATATTAGCAAATATAAGCATAATTCCATAATTACCTTTTGCAATTCCAACAAGCTTTTCAGGACTCTTGCATTATCAACCCCGGTAGAGTTAAGAGTCCCTGCTTGTAATTGTGTCTCATCAATGGTTAAATGAGAGCCTTCAGCAAGTTGCAGTATCCCTGATACCAGTCTGAAGCATCCACCACGAAGTTACACAAAAGGACAATAATGACATGTCAACTGAACATAAATATCACTAAATCTGGTTTATCATATTGAACTACCAAATACCTGTTAGTTTGATAATCTTTTCTTGGGGCAAGAGAAACTTTGTTAAGGTAATCCACTGTTAAAGGTACATAATGTGTAAACGGTAGAAGGTTCTGGAGTGCAAGATTAAGACGATGACCAAAAATAGACCGAGTTTCCTTGGTAAAACATGTTAGGTTCAAGGAAAGCTTTCCAACAGCAATTGAATCCACTCTAGCATGCACCTGAAAAGAAGAAGGTACTTGATATCAGTATCTCACAATAGAAAGTCTCTAATCTATCCAGCTACAGGTAAGACGAATGAGTCATTTTCATGCCTTAGACAACAGATGTAATAACATGAAATTAGCTGCAACACCATCATTTCCTAGGACAGTCGTGAGGTGCCCTACTAGAGCTTCCCTTATTCCTTTCACCAGTTGTGATTTAAGCTGCAACAATAATAATAGATGAGCAAGAAGGATCATTAGTCATAACAAGCAAAACAAAAACAGTAATTAGTCTAGAATGCAAGAAAATTTTATGCTCGCGAAGTAGCCCAACTGGCATTATTTCGCAGATACTGTCAGAAAAACATCCCCTCCTATCCCACCCTCTCCAAAAATATAGAAAAATAAATGAAAAAAGATCAGAGTAAAAAGATAATAAGAGTTTGCAATTCAACTACCTCAAATGTGGGTGGACCTGGAATAAAGTCTTGAGCGGTAAGCTTCCTGTGAACAAGGCAATGGAGTCGAGGTACCTGAAACAGAGAAGCCTCTTAAAGTGCATGCTCAAGAGACTTGAATGCTTCTAAATATATTTATACCGCTGGCCTCTCAACAGAATCATTCTGCATAGTTGATTTAGCTTCTACCAGATATCATTGTAGTCTTGCCTTTAGCTTAAGCAACTATATGCCATCAAATGATTTAAAAGATGTAGATACCAGGAGCAAATGCAGAGGCTTCTATCAAACAGAAATAAATTGTACCCTGATCTGCCATTGGATGTTATATAGAATGGAGTAAAAACTACAACTGTGATGTTCCCTTTTACTTTGCTCCAAAATACAGAATGTCACACTACCAATTGTACAAATAAAGATTTTAGTATTAGTTACCATCTCTTGATTGGCTGAGAGAAAGGAAAAGCATCAAGGTGGTTTGCTGAACAGAGAAGTGATAAGCCACGTTTCTTCCTGAAGCAGCAAAGAAATTTAGGAGAAAATAATTCCTGGAGCTTTCAGTTATTAGAAGTTTATTAGAAGTTATCTGTTTAGCAGTTTTATTATGGTTATTAGAAGTTATTTATCGTTATCCTAATAGGTTATGCAGTAGTCATGGTCAGCCTATTATATAAGTAATAGACCCTGTAATGTGTAGGTATCATTATCAGAATCAAAACTACTTTATTGTGGAGCATTGTACTCTCCATACGGACAACTTTATTGGTGTAGTTGTGTTAAAGATTCTTGCACAAACTATTGCCTATAATATTAACTTCTTTGTTCTATTTATTCTGTTATCTACTTCTGGTTTCTCTCAGTTTGGTATCAGAGCAGTAAGATCTGCCATGGTGAGCACACGGACCAACGCTTCCCACAGTGAACCCACCATTCCTACTCTTGACCCGATTTCCCAACAATTGACGACTATAGCAGCGAAATTGGAAGCCACAGATGCTTTAGCCGCTGATGTGGCTGCATTAAAAGCACAGCACAGTGGAGATCACAGCAAAAAAGGGAAAGCTAAAGCCATACCAGCAGAGGGTGAGGCTAACACCACTTGGCATCAAGAAACTTTCCGGCGCTCACAGACAAAGATGGAATTTCCAAAGTATGAGGGAGGAGATCCTAGAGGCTGGATTTTAAAAGCAGAGAAGTACTTCCAAAACTATCATACTTCTGAGGAATGCAAGGTTGATGTGGCTTCGATGTACTTGGAAGGAGATGCATTGGATCTTTTCGCTTGGATCAACAATGGGCGAACCATTTACTATTGGGACGAATTGGTGAAAGTAATGCAAGAAAATTACAGACCTGCTGAGTTTCAAAACCCTGATGAACATCTCTGTGATATCCAACAAACTGGATAGTTATATTATTTCCAGTCCAAATGAGGTAGTGTTGAATGTCACCGGGAGCGAGTCGAGTATAGGCAAGAATTTGCAAAACGAGCAGCGCGTGTGCAACATTGGCCAGAACACTGTTTGCTTGGAGTATTCCTCAGTGGGCTGAAAGAAGACATTTGTGTGGACATTAGGATTCACAAACCTCGATCAGTGTACAAGGCAATGAGCCTGGCTTTAGAATATGAAGGAAAACAGGGACCTAATCGGTCCAGTTAGACACCCACTTTGCCTTCTGTATAACGACCTCCTTCAGTTGGGACATCATCTCCAGCTGCTCGAGTATCCTTCGATTTTCTGTCATCCCGCCAACCGGTTACACGTCCTTTTCAACCACCATCACTTCCAAACACTCACCTGTTGACTCCTGAACAACAAATTCAGCGAGACAAAGGCCTTTGCTATCGTTGCGAAGAAAAGTTTAGCCCTGGTCATCGCTGCAAACCTGGGACTTTTGCTCATCTGGAGTTGATGCAAGAAGAGAACGACACACAGATTGTGAAAGATAACAACAAAAATGACATGTTTCCTACTGATGTGGGCACAATTTCTCAAACTTCGCCTTGAGGACAAGTTGTCTTTCCAGGAGGGGTGTACTGATAAGCCACGTATCTTCCAGAAGAAACAAAGAAATTTAGGAGAAGATAATTCCTGGAGCTTTCAGTTATTAGAAGTTGTCTGTTTAGCAGTTTTATTATGGTTATTAGAAGTTGTCTGTTTAGCAGTTTTATTATGGTTATTAGAAGTTGTCTGTTTAGCAGTTTTATTATGGTTATTAGAAGTTATTTATCTTTGGTCAGTCTATTATATACTGTAATGTGTATGCATCATTATCAGAATCAAAACTACTTTATTCTGGAGCATTGTACTCTCCATACGGACAACTTTATTGGTGTAGTTGTTTAAGATTCTTGCACAAATTATTGCCAATAATATTAACTTCTTTGTTCTATTTACTTTGTTATCTACTTCTGGTGATATTCGAACCAAAAGACCATAGCAGGATGTTGTCCAAGGGACATATGAAGGCAATTATTGGATTGCAATGCTCAGAACCAAAGATTGCCTTTGACAACTAAGTAATTCAAAGAAGTAAAACATGTGAAGGGAAGTTCTTGTTTGTAGAAGCATTCTAAGTATCAAACCCAGTGGTGACCGATAATAATAATTATTCACAATTCTGACTGAAAACCCACTCCATATGACTAAAGCAAGCCTCATCACATAAAAAGAATTTGAAGAAGAATACCTTGCTAGGAGGTATCTGGACCAATGTATCATCATAGAAGCTGCTCTCCAAATCATTGTTGCCATTTTTGTCCACTGGAAACTCCGGATCAAATGTGAAGACACCAATAAACTCAAAAACATCATTTAGCTTCAAATCAGATTCAGGAGAGTCGTATATCTGTAAGGATTAAAAATGTAAATAGTTAGAATCCATAAATATTGTTCAACATGCTTTAGAAGGAATTCCAGGAGGGCCTTACGAAAATTTAGAAATCCGACGTTCTGACAAATATCCTGAATGGAATGATTATGGATATGGTTTATTAGTAAAAAAACCTTCTCCAATTTTTGAATTGTCAAAACAAGAACTTTATGTGAGAGTTGAAGCCCCAAAAGGAGAATTGGAAATTTCTCATTGAAGATCAGAGTGTTTTTCCTTGGAGATGGAAAATTCGCCCACCGGGTTTTATCATTTTGCAAATTCTTCCTCAGTTAAAAGAATGAAATCAGATGATATTAGGTTAAGGTGCATACGCAAAGTTCAGCTTAAATGAGCAACTCAAGATTTACCTTCACGAAACATGGAAAAGAAGTTGTGTCAAAATTTGGAAGCACACTCGTAGCAGAACCAACGCCCTCAGTTGGAGTGCTTCCTGAATTTGATGAACCTGAAGCAATTCCATCCTCTCGCTGGTTTATTAACAAAAAAAAGGAAGCTTAATTAGATGTTGATGGACAAAGAGTTGATAAAAAGACAGATAATGCAAACATTTTATTAATAGCAACCAACAAGAGCACAAGTTTACATCCACAATTTTCAAGTCAAGGACAGCTGCTAATTGGAGGTTGAACAAAGTAAGAAAGACAAAGAAGTAATAACAAACTCAGTGTGGCATACCATCTTTTTGTTGGATGTGGAATCTTGAACCTCCTCATCTGTGACCTATCAATAAACACATCATTAAAATGCCTTGTGATAATATGCCTATTTGTCATCTAGTTAATTTATAGCAAAATATAATTGTGGAATATCCAGACAAAGAGATGGATATATACTTGCATATTGACGTCATTCATTGCTAGATCCTTGTCCCTCTGGCGCTTCTCCCTCTGTGGAGATGAAGAAATTGCACGTGGATTTAACAAGGCTCCAGAAGAAGGTTCAATCCATGAATTTTGCCCTGGAACCTAAATCAAGACAAGAATACATAAACAACTTTGTAAACATAAGCAAGTATGAGTTTCAGTTGTCAATTCCACCAAAGTAAAAAAGAATTATACAAGAGTAAGTCTACTTGAAAGGACACGAAAGAAAATTCTCTTCGAAAACAACTGAAGAAAAATAATCACTCCAAGCTAAGAGTATAACTCCTACCAGAAATCAAATTTAGGAAATTTATCCAACCTATGAAATATTTATATGACACTATTTCTTTATCTGTCCGTTCCAAAAGAACGACACATTACTATATTTGGAAACAATTCAAATTTATGCTTTTAGCAACCCAAATGTTAAAGTATGTTTAAGATCACAAGCTTCAAAAAAAATTCTTTACTTTCTTAAATTGTATGCCTTGTCAAAGGAGGGAATATAAGATAATCATTTTTATAAATACTACTACAACCAATTAAATCTATTAAAGCCTAACATGAATTTTGTTTTGAAACAGAAAGTTTATTTACTTGTGAAAAGTAAACAAGGACTCACAGGAACACAGTAAAGTAAACGGCGCTCCCACACACGCATGTCAGGTGAAGAACCCGTAGCCATAGGGAATTGAGAAAAGTCAGCAAACTTATTTGTTCTCCAAGTTTCTCCCTCCTTAAATCAGAACACAAAACAAGTGTTAGGAAAAAATTGGTCAAAGAAGACATTAGGTTCTCTGTCAGTAAGAGAAATCAAGGGACAAATGATACCTTGTATGCGCCAACATAGAATTCATTACCCAACATGTCTTGTATCATTCCACGAAATCGAACTAGAGTGTTCGGCTGCACCCATGACATTGTTGAAGGATTCAGAAATGGAACTTTAGAAAGACCGCCATCGTCAAAAAGGAACTGACTGAAGAGATCAGTGGCGCCCCAGTCCTTGCCATCGAAAGTGGCTGGATCAGAGCCTGAAGCTACCGCCTTTTCAAATGTCAATCGGACGGCTCCCAGTGGATTTGCCAAGCAATCGTACGGTAGGCCCACCATTGTTGATTGTGTGCTCTGATCAATTGGAAAAATGATTATGAGACGAAAAGCAGAGAGGCTAGGGTTGAAGGAGAATGGCAGTTGGTGGCATTCCCTCTCCGAGTCCTAAGTAGGTGCACATTTTCCCGCCAAGCTATGGAGGCTGCTGGATTTCCCGCCAAGTTTCAGGGCACAGTTTTGGACTGGGCTCTAACCGGAGGATTCTGTACTCCGGCCCAAGCTAAAAGAACATACTTCACAATCTCAAAATCGAGAAAATTACCCAAAAGTAGTTTCGAAGAAGAAAAAATAACAATTTTCACTTTGTTTACTTCTTGAGGAGGTAATATTTATAGTTTAAAAAATAATTATGGTTTTTGTACCACAAATACAAAATGGTGAGATGTAATATGCATTTAAATTAATTTTGGAAATTATTCTTTGCGGTATATATTGAAGCATGAATGTACATTTATGGGAATATACATATTTACTATTTTATATACAAAGTAATGTGTTAAACTTCAATCTACCCCATTTTCTTTCCTACTCTCCATTTTTCTCACGCATCTTTGTGTTAGGATTTTGTCATATTTTTAATCTACTAGTCTTAGTGTACGCGCTTTGCGCGTGTCTCTTATATCAATGAATACATTATTTTAAAAATTATATAAATATGATTGAATAATATATTTGACTTATAAAATAAAAAAGCTGAAAATGAAGAATGTTGATCTCATTTAGCTAGCTCAACAAAAAAAGAAATCATGCGCGCAAGTGATCAGATACATTATTATAAATTCTGAGAACTTCTATTAGAATATCTTACGAAATTATTGTAATTTCTATTATCTAATACGAAAATATGTAAACAACATAAAAATACTTTTATCAACAAAAATATATCAAAGAAAACAAAGTATAAACTGAATTTCTCTGTCTTTTTAGGAATGAAAAGGTTAGGGTTATAGCTCATAATTTTATTTTATTTTGATAAAATCTCAAAGTGACTACTATCGGATTAATATTTTATAAAATATACTGAAAGTAAATTACCTAAAATTAGTTTCGACGGAAGAAAAAAATTCACTTTGTTTACTTCTATAATATTTATTTTTACCACAAATCCAAAATGGCAAGATGTAATATGCAATTAAATAAATTTTGGAAATTGTCCTTTGCAGTATCCGTTGAAGCGTGAATGCACATTTTTTTGGGAGAATACGGTCAATAGGCATTGCAATGGAATTTTTACCTATTTATGGAATTATAATTTATTTATTCCTCTTGAAGAAATTATCACTTAGTTATGTTCTCATATACATATAATTACATTATCTCCCCCTCTCCCTTTTTCTCACGTATATTTATCCATAAGCGTTAAATTAACTGAAATAAGAGAGTACATATAAAAATATATACAACTAATATAATTGTATACATGTTGTATATAGGTTGTAAAATTATATTTTTTTATCGAACTATATAAAACAAAAAAATGTATATAAGTTGTTTATGAGTTGTATGTAAATTGCAGCTTTTGATCGGATTTTGTACAATAAAAAAAATATTGTTGTATATAAAATATATTTTGACCAGATTTCTATATATTTTGTAAATAACTCCAGTTACTTTTTATCAATAGAAAAATATAGTTAAATGGGATAAATATTATCTTATATATATATATATATATATATATATATATATATATATATATATATATATATATATATATATATATATATATATATCATTTAAAATTTATATCTCAATTTTTAGAAAATTTGGTGAAGATTCGAATAGATTTTAGTTGGAATTTCAGATTGAAACTCAAAAAGAAAGACATAAATAAATTGTATATATTTAGTATGTCAGGTGTACAAGTGACATATAAAATATATACAACTAACATAATTGTATACATGTTGTATATAAGTTGTAAAATTATAGTTTTTTGATTGAACTATGTACAACAAAAATTTGTATATAAGTTATTTATGAGTTGTATGTAAATTGCAACTTTTGATCGGATTATGTACAATAAAAAGTTATCGTGGTATATAAATTGTACATTTTGACCATACTTCTATATATTTTATAAACAACTCCAGTTACTTTTTATAAATAGAAAATTTTAGCTAAATCGGAGAAATATTATATATATCCTTGCAATGTAAATAGATTAATAGCTTATTTGGCCAAGCTTCTCTGCTTCTCCAAAACTGCTTCTGATACTGATTCTACTCAAAAACACTTTTTTCCTTCTAAAAGTTTGACCAAACATTAATTGTTGATCAGAAGTATTTTTTCAATTAATTCGCCAAACACAAACTGCTTCTCACCAAAAGGACTTTTGAAAAAATACTTTATAAAAAAATACTATTCAAAATAAGATGATTTTAGCAACTTGGTCAAACAGGCTATAACCGGCAAACATGGTCATGGGCCAAAATTGTAGTAACGGAAGATATGAAACTCACTGAAGTTACCATTCTAAAGACCTATTTTGGCAATTTGTTATATGAATAGAACAAGCAGAATTCCAGAATTAATGGTCCAAACACGTGGTGTGAAATAAGTATATTCAAGTGAACTTGAAAATTCTTAAAAAAATTGTGACTTGTTATAAAATAAAAGTACTTTAGCAAGAATTATGCAATTAATTAGAACTTAACACAAGAAGAGAATAATAATATTAGAAGACAATAATTCTTCTATTGTCAACTGTATCGAATAGGTTCATTAGTGAATCTATTTATAGAAATATTTTTCTGTTACAAAACCAATCTATAAAATCTGTTATGAATATAGAACCAATTCAAAACCTAATATGAATACAGAATCATTCCAAAACCTGTTATGAAAACATCCGTCGTGTTGCAAGTGAATGAATCCACTTACACGATTTATAACATGACTCTACTTAAACTTTTATTCCTACCGGTTCTTTATAGGTGCATATTCAGGAACAATTCTTCTGTTCTTGTCCCTTAGGAGCCCTAATTACTCTGTAAAATTCAATTGAAGCACAGATTACAGGGAGAAGCAAAGCTTCGTAGATAGGATCAAGAGAAGCACGAACCTGCTTAAATCATTGAATCCACTATTTGCATTTCTGATCTTTAAAATCGTGATACTGTTTCCTTCAATGAATTAAATTTATATTGTCCCGTATCTCATATGTAATGACAGATCAAACTAAAACAAAATTATTTTTTCTTACTAGGTGTAATTTAATGAACATTGATCCAATATTTACTTTTTTGGATTTTTTGAAATTTATTTTTTGTGATTTTAGTGCTATCAAAATGTTATGTCACAATATATTGTTTGTCTGTTCAAGAAGATGAATATCTCCAATTGGTTAGGAGCTATTCTTGAAGTCAAAGTGATTTATAGCTTGTTTGGCAAAAAGTGATTTTTAAAATATTTTTTTTCGAAGTTAAAGGTGTTTGATCAAACTTTTAGAAAGAAATAAGTGCTTTGAGTACAAGCAGAAGTAGTTTTTGAGAAGCAGAAAAAAATAACTTCTTTCCATAAATATTTTTTTGAAAAGCAAAAGTAATTTTTAAATTAATTGGACAAACCTAAACTGTTTCTCACAAAAAATACTCTATTAAAAATAAAATAATTTTAGACATTCGTACAAACAAGCTATTAGATTGGTGGTGTCTTGTTTCTGTTTTGTGGTAGGATTTTTTTTATTAATTTTTTTTATCTTCCTAATTCACCCAGCTTAAGTTGGTTTTCTTGTTTAACATTTCCTACTTAAGTCAAGAAATGGGGCAATATACATTTCGATTGTGTCAGGGTAATGAGAATTTAACCTGGTCTCTACCTACCCTTATTTTTTGCAAGTAAAAAGAGATAGATTGTGTTACGTGATTTATAGACAAGCGAACTAATTCGATCCAAAAAATGATAAAGAGATAAGATTAAAAATGAGAATTTAGCAATGGAGATTGAAGAAGATGACAAGCCTAGTCCCGAGCGCAATGCCTCGAAAGACAAAAGTGAAAGCAATGATAAATTGCAAATAAAGTTGTTTAATTGAGATGTGAGAGCAAAGGTAAAATATACCTTATGTCTGCAAAAAATTTTGTATCCATACAATGGTTGTTGAGCCTGCTATTTATAACTCTACCTAAGGAACAATTTTCTAGGATTAAGTTCCTCTTAAATGATAATAAAAAAGGTCATTGATGCACATGTAATGGCAAGCGATGAATACAAATATTCTCTACAACGGTCGCTCATTTAATGTTAGCGAATATTCCCTCATTGAATGCTAGCCGATGGCAAATCATCGATCTTCTCTCATTGACTACGGTCCCTTCGAGATTTACCCCAAGTAGATTACATTTGTTGTGTCTGGTATTGATGGTTACTTGACTTGCCTTCCGTCTAGCTTTGGTTCCACGTGTCACATTACCATTCGACCATCTGGTATAAACTAATTTTATCCCATACAAATAGTCCCCTAACTTTTTGATGACATATCTTAGTGTTACCGGGAGGTTGGTGAAGGTTCTTTTCTTGGCGGGAATGTTCCTGAACAGTCTCTAACGCTTGAAAGGATGCACATCTTCTCGCATTTAATACCCCGAACACGTGTTTCTACACGATTTAGCAAATATTTTACCGATTTTTGAGGTAATCACGACCACGATTTTTGCCGTCTATAACTTTCCTTTACTCATTATTTTTATTTCTTTACTTCCAAAATTTTCATAAGTCTTTCTTCTTCCCTAGCTTTACTTAGAAATTCTCATCTTTTTAACCTATCTTAGCAAGAGTTTTACTGACCTTTTGTTACCATGGCTTCTTTCACTGCTCTCTTCGGAAACATTGATCTTCTCTTCGGTAGAGGCCCAAAGAAAATTAAGGACAAGGAAGCTGATGTTTATTCTGAACCTCCAACCATTAGCTCCATCATACCATAATATCATAGCACTGCTAACGACTTTCAAGAGAAGGCTACTTCTACATCTTCACGGGCTTGGCCTGTTAGTAGGTATCCTTTTTCCATTCGCCCTTCTAGTATCCCAATTGTGAAGGAGGATTACAAATGCCCCAATCTTGAAATCCTCGCCCCGGATATGATAGAGAGGGTT